GGCAGAGCTCAGATGTAAAGGTATTGTTATCTGTACTCAGTCTCCCAAGAGTTTAACTGTATGAAGTTGTTGGCAACTGGATTTCAGTAATAGTGAGTCCTGAGGAATTTAACAATTTTTCCAGAAAGGAAGGTGGCCTTTCTTCCTACTTCCCTGGCTTTTCTACCCCCATTGTAAAATAAAACCAAGTAAGACCAAAACTTGAAGATAACACATGGAATCTTGGCCTAATAATACCTAGTGATCCAAGTACTTTTGTGGCCTTCCCCCCCCCCATCAGGCATGTACCTTTTTTCACTGCATGTGCTACCGCTGTGTTTGTGTTCCATACAGAGTCCTCACCACTGTTTTCATGGTCATTCCTTATTGCATCTTGTAAAGCTACTTGCATAGCCTTTCAACCTCACCTTCACAGTCCCAGCCAAAAATCTTGTCTTTGCTCTCTTCAGTTCTTGCATCTCTTTCAACCCATTTCATTTACGATTAGCTGGTCTTGGCTCTTTTACAGCATTCATCTGATCAGTGTGGTGATAGCGTGGGTACGCCAGTCCTACAGCGTTCTGCTTTGACCGCTTTAACCACAAAAGTGGTTACTTTAACTATTCTTGGTCTTGTTCTTCCTTTGGCAAAATGTCAATTTTTGCGTTGCTGTGCTTTGCTGGCAGTCGATGCACACATGAGAAACAGGACGACTCTAACCTAGGGGACGGTTTTCCAGTATTTCTAATAATAAATTGACCTACATCTTTGGCTAGTGTAATAAGTAGATTTGGACAAATTAGCTGGCCCCAGGGCATCACTATGCAATTTATTTCAGTTTGTGCTAACATTGTGTAATGTTTTGATTACTTAAGAGAGCAGTTGGTCCACATGCAACAGGCTTGTTAAAGAGTTCCAGTTGATCTCCGACAGTTCTACTAGGACTTGAGTATTTCCTCTGGAAGGGAGGAGAGTGAAGATGAGTTCAATATGTACTGCCATGTTTTGTTGTCACAGGTTTTCGTGCCAATGAGAATTTATCCTGAAGAGTTAGAATTGCTGCGATCACAGCATGTATTAGTGTACACTGGCAAAACTGGGTGCTTTGTGTGAATGCTCTGCACTTTGAGCTTGCTCCCGTATGGGAAAAAGTCTCTCTTCAAAAACTTATACAAATAGTAGATGAGGGAGCTTTGACTTTCATCTAGTATAACTGCTTTTTTTAATTACAGCAGTTACCTTTTTAGAATTACTTGTTGGTCTGAGAGCGTTAGTGAGGAACTGAGATAAAAAAGTGGAGCACAGGGAACTTTGCCTGCTTTTTGTTTTCATAGCTGAGCTTCATCCTTCATCGAATACCTCTTGAGTACATGTGGCATAATGTCTTGTAACTGCTTGGTATGTGCTTACTTCGTAGCAAGCAGTTCTACTTTGGTAACCAGAGTCTCTTGGTTGGCCTCATGTTGCTTTGCTTTGTTGTCCTTTCGCGTCATAGTTCTTGCCACTTACCAGTACATTCCTCTTCGCAGGTTAGAGCTACTGGAAGCAAGTGTCAGACTGTAGGTGCCATTTGTCGCTCTAGTCTTACTATGGAATAACTCATGATCTAGATGATGGAGTTAAAATTCACTGTTGAATAGTTCTAAGATACTGATCATTATGCCCCTGCTCATTCCAGAATGTGCGAGGCAGACAGGCCCATCATTCCCCATACAGCTGGTGATGGGCTGCAAATGCCACCTGCACCTGGATGTCTTGTGGAACAGCAAGCGGTCACCTCTGAATCACAGAATCACAGAATAGTAGGGGTTGGAAGGGACCTCTGTGGGTCATCTAGTCCAACCCTCCTGCCGAAGCAGGGTCACCGGCTGCACAGGACCTTGTCCAGGCGGGTCTTGAATATCTCCAGAGAAGGAGACTCCACAACCTCCCTGGGCAGCCTGTTCCAGTGCTCCGTCACCCTCAGAGGGAAGAAGTTCTTCCTCATGTTCAGACGGAACTTCCTGTGCCTCAGTTTGTGCCCATTGCCCTGAAGCCCTTTGCTCTTTCTCCAGCACGGATCTTTGATTATACTTGGGCAGAAACGATGGTGCGATGTGCAGCAGCAGAGCTGCACAAGATCAGGGTGTCTGGGAGAGCTGCGTGGGGCAGAGGTGGCCAGCTGCCTGCTGTTTGCTTCCAGGAGGCACCTCCACGCGGGGCCTCGCCGGGCTGGCTGCCTGCCCGCACCGCACTGGGCTCCGGCTTCCAGGGGGGCAGGACCTGGAGGCTGAGGCGTGACGAGGAGCACGAGAGGGATGGGACGGGGGTAGAAAGCAGGGGACAGAGTGCCACGGTGGGAACAGGAGAGGCAGGCGAGCGGTGCGAGTGCCAGACGGTTGCCACTCATTCAGCCTGTGAGACAAGCATTTGTTACGTGTTCGGAGACAGTCTGACAGTACTGCGGAAGTGTAAAACACTTCCAGAAAACTCTATCTGCAGTTACTACTTTAAAAATGGAATGTGATTTGATGAATTCATCACAAGTACTACAGCAATGTGGTCCTTCCTAAGAATGTAAAGCTAGTCATGTAAATAAGAACAGGTAGCAAGATTTGCTTCCAGTCTTTGTTGCTGTTCATGACCCAAAGAGCAAACTGCTTCACTGGGGACAAACAAGAGAAGCTGAAGCTGGAAGTACTGTAAAGTGATCTGTTTCCCTCAGTGCGCGATCCCATTTGAGTCATGTTCTGCATCCCAAGCACTGAGGCACTTCCGGCTCCATTTCGGAGGTGTCTCGGCTGACACGACCCACCTGCAGATAGAGGGGTTGGATCACTCTGGTGTTTTTTATCCGTTCTGTTCTTCACACTCCACTGGGATTCAAGGAATGACGTGACTAGTGTGGGACTGACCAAGTCCAGCTAAGAGCTGCACACACTTTCTTGACATAATCAAACTACATCTTCTCTCCTCAACTCAACAGGAGCATCGTCGGTACCCCCAGCACCGCCACCGCCGCCCCTGCCACCAGCAGCTCCTCCTCCCAGTACAGAGGTGCCAACGCAGCCAAGCCCACAGCCCGACGTCAGTGCAGGCCGAGGAGCCTTACTCAGCTCCATCCAAAACTTTCAGAAAGGAACTCTGAAGAAAACACAGACCTGCGACTACAGTGCTCCCAGGATTAGCTGAGGCCATGGATCCCACCAGGGCTGAATTCCCTCTCCCGCTCCTGTGCTGTCTAGGAACAAGACCCTCCTGACCAGCGACCGATCCACCAGCATACAGCAGATAACTACACTATAGCTCTGTTTACCCCCATTTCAGCTTTTCTTGAGTAGCAGCACCGTCCTGTCTGAACTGTGTTCTCATGCTAAGTACGCCATTCTTTACCTGGGTTCAAGAACTTCGTTCTCTAGCTGCAGTTTCAGGGGTACTGCAATTTCTATATAGCTGAATAAAAATCTGAAAACAGGAACAACCACGATCATGGTGAATGAATACATTTTTTCCTAGCTCTATTCCACCCCTTTTGTCAAATTACAGGAATATAGTTTTTGTCTGCTCAGTTTTTCAACACTTTTCATGTAGTTGTAACTCATCTTAATTCTTGCTGCACTGAATCAGCAAGTTTTGTTTTAGATAATCCACCACCCTCCCCCCCAACCCTTAAAGCGTACTGCACAGGTGAGGGAACTGGAGAATTGAATCTTATTCCCACCGTATTTGCTGGTGGGGTAAAAATGCTGTTTCATTAAACTTGTTTAAATGGACATCCTACCTGTAATTCCACGGGAAAGTGTTTTTAAATGAGGAAACAGTTGAAATGGGAGTTAATAGGGCACTGTGATATTATTAGTTAAAGGCAAAGTTACTTCAAGGTAATTCTACAGCTTAAACTTTATTGAAAGATCCTTTTTGATTTAAAACCTTAAACAAACTGCACTTTAAAGGATTATAGATAATCCATTTTTTAAATTTTAAATTCAAGTACATCAGTGTTTGTTACTATGCAGAGAATGTCTGTACAAAGTTTCATGTAACCTGTGATATTCAGTCATTTTTATTAAAACGTTAATGGAACTCCTTCTGCGGCGTGGTGGTGGGTACATGCAGCTAGGATTTCACCTGCAAGCCAGACTTCCTAAGAACCTAACAGCACTTCTGCTAAAAGGAAATAGCTGAAAGGTATTTCTGGCCCTTAGCTGGAACAGGACCCGACGGGCTCTTCTGTCTGCTTCCAGAGGCAAGCATCTCCTCTCCCGCAGCTCAGGGGATGGGCAGTCTGGGCACAGAACAAGCCACCCTGCACAGACCCCTCGCGGCAGCTCTTGCTCCGT